AAGACAGAACACAAAAACGGAGAGAAAAGAAACCAGTGCCTACTTGCCTTGCATTTATATAATTTACCGAAACCACTCAGAGGTAATAAGGGGAACCTGCTCCAAGGTGACTTAAGGTCTCCACTCATAGACAGGGGAGCAGCTGGCATCATTTTAAGTTTCCGCTTGAGCAGGCACTTCCATTACCCTCCGAACCTCCAAGGCTGTGTTCTGGAAAGATCAACTCCATGGGGGAAGGGGAAGGTAGCTCTTCTTTCCCTGCAGAGCTTCCGTCTTAGCCCTTAGCTGCCTTCACACTCTGGAGGGGAGGAAGCGAATCTCTCCCCTCAACACTCTGCTCAAATGATGAAATAAATTGTACTCTTGTGGCTTCACTTCGCTTAGCTCAGGTGAGTCGTGCTGTGTCAAAAAAACAAGGTGATAAACTGAAGTAACAGCTTTGTGTCAAGGTGGCCCATATACATTTTGTCTCCCAGCTTAGCAGCTATACGTGTCCCTTGTGAGCAAGGGAATAAAAAGCAGCACATGCGGACTATGGTGTCCTGTGTCCACCTATACAGAGATCTAAGCATGTTATTAGATTTAAACTGACTGTGGCTTAAGAGTTTGATGGTCGATCTGAATCTGTGACCGCTGTTGGAGGCACTGCAGGACCTAGGCATACATGATACTAAAAAGGATGAGAAAACAACATGTAAACAAATTGTAGATGCAAAACATATCCCAGACAAATCATGCAGATGAGCTTTGGGTAAATTCACACAAATAGTCCTCTATGATTTTTAAAAGGTGAGAGGAAAAGATCTGTTTTTAAGAAACAACAACAAACAAACAAGGACAAGGCACTCAAGAAAAAAAAAGGTTTAGAATTTCAGAGACGAGACAATAAGATCAAAGAACGTGATCGGATGATTTAAAGAAAGCTGCAGCACAGAGGAAAGTAAGCAAAAATAAAATAAAGGCAATATAGTGTATGAAACCACATTCAAAAAGCAAAAATATACATATAAATTGTTACTAGTACTAATAGAATACAATTGAAAACAAAGTTATAGACATAGTAAATAAGCTGGAAGAAACACAAATTAATAGGTCATGGATAAAAACCAACAAAATTATACCAATAATTATTACCTAGTGCTATTGAATAGATTTCAACTCATAGTGTCCCTAGAGGATTTTCAAGGCTGTACATTTTTACAGCAGCAGATAGTCTCAACTTTCTCCTGTGGAAACGACAGGTGGGTTTGAACTGTGGACCTTGTGGTGAGCAAACACCTGACAGTGCCATGACAGCTCCTTCATCATTTTAGCTACACTACATATGAAGGCAAAAGAAATCCAACATATGCGTGGTTGGCTTTCTGATGTGTTGGGGTTTTTTATCTTCAAGTTTTTGAATGTGACTTTAAAGGGTAGAAAATGAGACTGCATTTTTATTAGAAATGGTGCCTGAAATCATTTTTTTAAAAGGTTATTTTATTCCTGGAAAAATTATTATTTGAAAAATAACTCCACTGGTTTGATTCAGTTATTTTATTTTTCTAATATTTCATTTAAAAATTAACATGATTTTATGGTACAAATTACATAATAATATATGTGCTTGTAGCTGCTTAAATGTTAGACATACATGAAAGGATAGTCATAATACATTGAATATAGTTTTAACTTTCTTTACTAGAGTTTTTAAAAACATTTTTTATTGGACTTCAGCTACAGCTGAGAGACAAAATGTACCAGGGCAACCTAGACACAAGCTGTTACTGCAGTTTATCACCTTGTTTCCTGGCTCACCTGAGCTAAGCAAAGTCACAAGAGTGCAACTGAGTTCATTGTTTGAGCAGAGTTTTGAGAGGGGAGCATTAAACTTAATCTTAGTTTTTCCTCTACTTTTCTATATGGCTTGAGACTTTGAAAAACTAATTACCATGTATTATTTTTGCAAAATTAACATTTTTCAAAAAGAAACAAGGGTGAGGTATATTAATGATATGTTTGATTTTTCTCAGTAGGAAAAAGCAAAGTGGACTGCAAGAAAGCTAAACAAAAGAATTAACGAGGGTAAATGTAGAAATTAAAAATAGAAAAACGTAAAATAGATCTGAACAATACAATGAAAAAGATAAGTAAAATAAACAACTCAGTGATAAAATTGATTAAAAGATGGAGAAGACAAATAACTAACAATAAGAAGGTGGGAGGAGGCTCCGTTTGAATTTTTCTTTCGTTTCTCTGCCCTGACCTTCATTGTGCCCAATAGGGCAGCTGGGTTCACCTTTCCAACACCCATCACACCTTAGAGCTGTGAATTAAAACAGTAAGTCTCACCACGCACACACCCCACCCCCATCCACATCCCCACCCCAGAGACTGGACATTCTAGTGATGGGAGGGCGCAACAAAGAAACCAACAACCAACAGTAAATGCCTCTCAAAGGACGCAGAACAGGCTGGGTTGGAGAAGGGCTCTTGCTGCCATGGAGCCAATTCTGACTCAGGGCGACCCTGCAGGAGAGGGTAGAACTGCCGCTGCGGGGTTCCGAGACTGGGACTGTTCACAGGAATTGAAAACCTTCTCTCTCCCCCGGTGATGGATCATCAGGCTACTTAATTTTGAGTAGACAGCAAATAGCTCCATAAATGAGATATTTAAGCCATGACATAGTTGATATTGACTCATAGATATTTTAAAAATCATTATATTAGGGTCTCATACAACTCTTATCACAATCCATACATACATCAATTATGTAAAGCACATTTGTACATTCACTGCCCTCATCATTCTCAAAAGATTTTCTCTCCACTTAAGCCCCTGGCATCAGGTCCTCATTC